TCCTGCACCGGCCCCCCAGCTTCCCCCCCCCCCCACCCCGGCCTCCTCGTTTGTGTTATTTCGACTTTACCGCCGCACTGTCCTTTACCTCGTCCATTCACACTTACCTCACTCATCTGCAGTAGTCACATGACGGCGTGTCTATTTTTGACACTTTTGACTTTCACGATTTGACGCACCGGATCCATCGACTCACCACCTCGACCAAGGAGACGGTGGAAGAAGCACACAAGAGCAATTCTTAACAGAGGCAAAAAGTGTGTCTGCGTGTAGGAGACAGCCGCAGATCCCGAGGGCCAGTTGCGGTCGAGCTGACACCTTTCTGACCCGCGAGCGACAGCGCCAACATGACGTCAGACCCGTGCACGCGCGCACACACACACACACACACACACACACACACACACACACACACGCACACACACCAGCTGTTCCCGCTACCGCTACTGTTGCCAAAGGTCACCTATAGCCTCAGCACACCTATTTTTTTTTTTTTTTTTTTTTTTTTATAAACGATCAAAAGCAAACACAAAATATGTCGGATGGAAAATAACGAAACCTTGTTGTTCACGCCGTCTTCCCAAAAAGAACATTCCACCGGGTGACAATATTTTGCCGCACTAATTCCTCTTCTCATATCGACTAAGGGACTAATTGCACCTATGTTTGGAAAGGAGTCCTCGTACGGAACTTTCTGCCGAGTCTTAAGGCTCGGAAGCGGCAGGGTTTAATTTGCATGCCGCCGAGATACACAGCCTGGACGAAAGTAATGGGACACGCTGCCGTGACTTCTACTCAGAATTGAAACGAGCCGATTGTATGGCGTTTGCCATGTTAGGTTGATGAGGTGAGTCTCAATACTCGAAATAGTATTGATGCGGTTAGTGCGGGCAGCCTTGATTTTTTTTTTTTGATTTCCCCCCCCCCCCATCCCCACCTCATACGAATCATCACGATTGATACAAATGGATATGTTGAGTGTCCTTTTGTTGACACCTGCAATGTAAGTCTTTTTTTATTTGATTTTATTTATTTATTTATTTGCATATCCTTGCACTGCCTCCTCACAATCATCATTCTTGTTTCCAGTAGCAACACAAAAGCGGTTTTCTTTCCGTACTCGCACGATGCCGTCTTCAGCGTCGTGCGCCAACATTCATTTTTTTTTTTCCCTCTCGAGGGCACATATTGACCCAGCAACAACAACATCAACACCTGGATCTGTAAACAACTCTTTGTTAACCGGCTCCGCATTTGTTGATGTGGACTTTTCTCAATACTTGAAGATACAAATCAACCAGTAATGATCGCTTCAAAACACTTTAAGTAAATAAAAGGATCATTTAATTTTAGCGGCAGCAATAGTTTCTTCCAATTTGTGCTCCGTGGCTGATTTATGAAAACATCACATTCATGTTCCTCAAGTAATTGAAAAATGTTTTTTTTTTTGTTTTTTGTTTTTTTGGTGGGTCTGTTCTGTGAGAGAGAACGGTGTTAGTCACCTCAAAAATCATCAACTATTTGCCTAAACACCTTTAAGAGAAATTAACTAGACAATACAAACAACATATAATTACTTTCTTGACTGACTTTAGCGTGTTTCAAACAGTTGACGAATTTTAAAGTGGCCCTTTCATCCTTCTGTTTTTCTGTATGCGGCCCTCAAGCAACCCCCCCCCCCATGTGGCTAAAGGACCATTTAATGTAGCCGTAAACACTCCAGAGTGTACGTGGATTTTTGTTCCCCTCACTTCATTGTTTAAAAAGTTCATTTTTTTTTTGTTTTGTTTTGTTTTTTTTTGTTTTTGTTTTTTTTTTTTTGCTTTGTGCCGCAAGACAGATACACTAGCAAGAAAAAAAAAATGTCAAAGACACGCGTACAAAATGAAAGCACTCTCAAGGAGCATGCCGCATTGTCACTTTATATATTGCCCCACTCGGGCACTGTAAATAACTCCCGTGTTTCCCGCCTGCGCTGCCCAACAGCGTTCGCGTTGGCAGGATATCCCGTCTGACCCCCCCCCCTCCCCCCACCTACCCTGACTTTGTCTTTGTCCCCGTCAGGCTGCATGCGTACCCGTGATGCTTAGTAACGGCTGGGAGCTGCCTTTCTCCGAGATCATCAACTGGAATACGGCAGCAGTCATCGGCGACGAGAGGCTTCTGCTGCAGGTAAATCACCCGCAAACGGAACCGGCAGCGCTCCCGCCCCCCGTGAAGTCAACCTCGACATGACTTGCAAAGTGCTGAACACGGACGGGGCTCTTTTCTCCCTTCGAATTGATTTGCGCTATTGTTGTTTTCTTCGAGGGGTTGTCAACCAAACTCCATTCGCGCAGCGGTGGCATGGCCGAGAAATATCACTCGGTCTCATTTTTTTGTTACAACGGAGGGCAAGTAAATAGAATGAGCGAGTCGACAGAACTGCATAATATCCGTGAGTGAGCGAGTGAGTGGGGGGGAGTAATTATATGCCAATTAAGTCTGAAATTTGAATCAAGTGCGGAATAACATTGTTTGACATTGAGTCGTTCAGCATAAACGGAGGCTAATCTGAGGTCATTATGCTGTCGGCCATCTCGCTGGAATTGTATTTTAAGTTCTTTAAATATGATTCACCTCTTCTTCATTATATGTCATGAAGTACACAGCTCTGTTTCATGACACACTGAAGCTGGCTGTCAAATTAAACATCAAACAAAGAGAATTTTACACTGTGTATTTTTAAAAGAACCAATAGAGTCCACTATCGTAAGCACTGACACATCATGGGAAATACCATAGATGGGCTAACAAATAGTATGTCCATGGCACGTAAAAAAAAGAATGGAGATTTGACCACCAACAGCGCAGCAAAACATGTAGACATGCAATATAAGAATACTCCTATTTTCTTCGTCGACCAATATTTATCAATCTCATTATTTTTGATGATCAGTTAATGCCGTGTGAAATGTGAATTCGTCCAAATTTTTGGAAACATCCTATCGGCAGTCAAGACTAAGATTTCTGTAGTCCACCATAAAAGCAGATGTTTGTATTTTCAAAATAAGACATTTGCAACCATTTGCGAGCATCTGCTTTTACTTTGGAAAACAATTGTAATTAAAACATGTTTTGTTTAGGGGGTTTTTGCAGCCCTAGTCTACACCTTTTTTGTACCCTGCTCAAAAACAAAAAAAAAAATGTTTTGCCTGGGCATTGACTTACTGCTCTCCGTCTCTCACAGATTCCTACCACGGTGCGTTCCATCCACCAAGATAAGATCCTGTCGCTCAGACAGCAGACGCAGTTCCTGTGGGAGGCCTACTTCTCTTCGGTGGAAAAAATCGTGCTGACCACGCTGGAGGTGAGGAGCCAACGGCCGCACCCTCGGCTTCCCCGCTCCTCATCATCAATCACCCACCCGGCATTCGATCAAATCTGGCTTTCCTCCCACCTTCGTCTGCTCGCCGTCGCGGCACTCGCCTAACCGGCGAGGGGTGGTGTCATTTAGTAGAAGGCGCAAAAATGTAAACCACCTTTCCACAAAGCGGGCAAGGAAAAACCGACAGATTTTCTCGGTTGTTTTTGCCATTCGAAGCGCAGCACTTGCGCGCAGTTGAAATCTTCCACTGATATTTTATTCAACGGGTAACCCAGTTCATGGAGTTTGTGACCGCAACGTCTTCATCAAATTTGTTTACCGAGCAGGGGGGGGATAAAGGCTTCGCTTAAGGAGCGTTTTCGCTCCGAGGTTACCGATGTGTTAGGCTTCTTCCTCTTTGGCTCATATCAAAACATGACACATTTAATTTACCCTCTGACTGCGTCACGTGGGATTCGCTTTCGATTGCCTTCTGCGGCTTTTTTCCACGCTCGCAGCCTGTCATGGCCGCCGCGCGGAGATGCCATTTGATTGCGTCTGTCGCAACATCGCAGGTCTATTGTGATCTGGCCTGCTTCACGGTAAGCCTGTCATTGTCACAGGCGCACACGGACACACACACACACACACACACACACACACACACACACACACACACACACGTACGTCGAGTCAAAAGCACATCTCCATATGTCAAGGTTTGTCAGCTCAGATACACGTAGCGCACCACCCAGGCACAGCCTTGCCATGCTGTCATTCTGCACTGAAGAGCAAGGTGACTCAGCGCGTGTGTGTGTGTGTGGGGTGGGGGGTGTGGTGTGGTGCGACTCGACCTTAATCCTGACTGACTGCCCTGTAAAAAGCACGAGGTGAGCAGCGCAAGAGCGGGGTGGAGAGGCGGTGACATATGGAAATGACGTTATCGGCGGCAGCACCCGCGGATAACAAGCGACATGGTTAATTCATCCCGTCGAACCCTCCGAACCATCCACACGGAATCCAAATCTCCTGGCACGCACTTAAGGGCCGCCGCGCGCCAAGCGACGCCGCCCATGTTAGGCAACGTGTTATCTTACGTGGCTTAGATTAAAAATTTGAATCTCTCTCTGTCTCGCTCGCTCTTTCTATTTTGACCCGACACCCGGAAGTGATGCCTCATGTAAGGGCATATTTAGCTGGCTAATGAGCATTGTATTAAACTCGGCCAGCAATCAATCAGGAAAGCTCATCTCGGCAGTCGAGCTCGCTGGTGTACTCTCTGTGTGGCGATCTGCTTCTTCCTTGACAATCGCACCATGTTTTTGTGGTTCAGGTAAAACAGATAAAAGAACAATATAAAGACAGCACAGTGGCCTCAGAACCCGCAAACCTGCGTCTGTCGCTATGCACCGCTCACTCGCCGGGTGTGTGGCACGGCGATCCGCCTCAGTGTGCGCTGGGCTACAAATCCCGCCCCCCCAAAACGTGCATATCCGCACTTTTCCGACACGTCCCACCTATCACGCGGTGTTTCCTGCAAGCGAGCAAAACAATCACACATCTTCCCACCAATCTCAAGGTCAATCCGGCTGAATGCGAGTTGCCGGTGCGCCTATTAAAGCCCAACTCGCTGTGGATTCACCGGGATTTATCTGTCATGCTCTAATTGGTTGATTGTGGCTGTTCGGAGGTTGAGATTGAGTCATCCATCACGTCACGACGAAAGTTCTGCTGACGGGGGAGGAGCGGCAGTCAAGCGAGCCAAATTACCCGTCGTAAGGTGGAAAGGCTGTGGCTTTTTAAGGTGCCGGCCAGTGTTTTGAGAGATAAGTCAACGGCGAACGTGTTAATCTTTCCGGCAAAAGCAAATGAAACCAAGCCCCGGAGGTGTTAAAAAAAAGATCCCCTCCTACCTTGCATTTTTTTCTTTATGTTGCTTTGTCAATATTATCACGGCGGGGCCCCTCGAGCTATAATAATAACTTTTTTTACATTCCAAATAGCTATCAGCTGCTCAGCCATCGCTACAAATCACCAGGCTCTCCTCTGAGTTAGCAAGCCAGCAGCCATCACCTCCCGATTCAATAGCGGCCATAAAACACGGCCCCTAAACCTGCGCCTGTTTTACTGAAGCAATTTAGCTTGGCTCAAGGGCGAGGTAGCAATATCTCTGTTCTCTGCCTGCCTGTGCGGCCGAGGCCGAGGCCGCCGGCGCGCATGAGACGACCGAGAGAATAGTGGCCATTCTGCTGTCTGACTCTGTGAGTGACTGCTCCATTTGGGCTCAGAAAGGATCGAGGCAGGCCCCGACTGACTTCCTGGTTCGGTGCAACTGATGACTTTGTTACCGGAACTGTTTGGCTGATGCGCTGGACGAAGCTCAAGGACCGATTAAGGAGAGTGGTGCAATTTTGTGCGTCGGCAAAAAAAAGTCGTTGACACCGTTGAGAGTCGAGTCGATAACCACAAAAAAAAAAAAAAAAAAAATCAGATTGCATACAGTCAAAAAAAATTTACCTTCTCTGGGATATAAACTCATCTCATTGCAGTTTAGGGGAAAGCCTCTAAATCAGGGATGGGCAACTTGTACATCACCAATTTTTTACCCTTTTTTGTTGATATTCATTCACGTACTGTTTGTCCTGCATTTTGTGCAAAATCCCCGAATGAATAGGCCGAATCACATTGTTTTATAAGAAGAAAAAAGGTTATTCCCAACATATATGACTGGAAAAAAAGTGTTTTCTGCCATTTTAACCACCCTCCTTCAAATCCAGAGGCTCTATCCATGAATGGATAGATGCTAATGGTATTCACATTGAGCGCAAGCACGAAAGCACCCGACGCCGTAAATTAAAGATGAACACCGATTAGGAGCCTTGTATGTCGTATTGATGTTTCCCCCTCTCGTGTCGTTTCCACGCGCAGATCATCCAGGATCGTGTTTTGGAGCACAGTTCCAGGAGCACCCAGATGTGGAACACTCACCCCGGGGGGCTCTTTGCTCTGCCACAGTACTCGAGCTACCTCGGAGACTTCCCCTTCTTCTATGCCACCTTTGGTCAGTAAGATGCATTTCGGATCGTATCGATGCGTTTCACGACAGCATGAATGGCGAGCAGGTAGCGTATTTTCCGCACTATTGGGCGCACCTAAAAGCGTTCCGTTGACACGTGCATTGGCCAACACACACTCAGACGACTACTTTGTGAGCTCTGCGCAGCCGTTATGAAAAGACGATAATATCAGCATTGTTAACTACTGACTTAACGAAGGAAGAAGGAGCCAAGCAAGACTTCTAAGGATATTTAGACCCTTGTGGATGTGAGCCCACAAGGTTTGTGGATGCATTGCGCAACCGCAGCCGCTATTGTAGCTTCTATTCTATGCGCCTTATATATGAAAACGATTTTTAAATCGGCCATTATAATCCGTAGCGCCTTATAGTGCGGAAAATACGGTACACTTACTGTCCAAAACATTAGGTACACCGACACAGTAAGATGAGATCCAATGCAACATTGTTCCATTGCATGAGCTATTACATCCATCTTTGACATTTTATCCCATTGTTAGAGTGTGCGCAGTGTGGTCAGTGAATTTAGTTTCCGTGGCCCGTTGACAACTGAGGATTTGGACCTTGTCGGCGCAGCGGAAATATATGGCCTTTCTTCTTGATCCACTGGCCCCGTCGAGCGTAGCGAGTTGAGGGAACGGGCCTCTGACGGATGGTTGTGTTTGTCCTGCTGACTCACTGCCCTCTCCATCATCGCTTTTGAGTCAGCACTTGCCGCCGCTGCGCTCGACTAGCGGCGAGTTATCCCCCCCGCGCCGCGTCTACGCGCCCCAAGGACGGCTCCGTCCCCCCTGCTTTCCCCACTCGATCATTCCTCCAAGCACACGCTCGCACATGCATCGATACAGTCCTGTTTGACAAGGGGGCCTGAACACGAATGTGCATTAAAGCAGACGCAAACGATATTACTGTTCGAGAGTTCTTCAACCTCAGCTGAGTTTTTCTGTGAGTTCAAAAGCTTCCAACAGATGACAAGAGCCGTATCCCTAAATTATTATTATTATCGAACAATTACAAGATGCCAGTTGGCTTACAGTGGGGTTCTCAGATATTTTCGGGATTTCCTGAATTGAACCTCCATCTCTGAAACCGCAAACTGGTCAAGCCTGAACGTGTGCAAAAAAAAAAAACTGCCAAGGCAAGCAGTACTGGTGCGGCTATTAAAAGGCCTCATCTGACTGAATCAAACCGGCTGGCTATGATGCAGTAATCATTCGGCTGGCAAGATTGTGCTGATTCTGTAATGTGCTGGATGGGATAAAAGCCAGAAAAATCAAGTGCGAAACGCCGAGTACGGCATCCAAGAATGAGAACAGCCTGCACTTCTGTCATCCCGCTCCAGTTTTTGTCCTGCGGACCGGAGCTCTGATGACTGTTTTTCCACTCAGTCCCCGGCAGATGACTCATGTGTTGTTTGTCAGTCTCTCCGCTCATAATATGAAGACTCGCTTCGAAATGACACCAATGGCTCACGGTTTGGTCCACCACGTTTTCTGGATTTGCCGAACTTGTTAATGAATTCCCCGCGCCTCCTCCTGGTATGTTTCAGGTATTAAACAGTCTCCGAAGTTCACGGCCGTCATCCACGCCGTCTCCAATCTGGTGTCCCAGTCGCAACCCATCCTCAAGCTGCTGGTGGCGGTGGCCAAGTCCCAGTACTGTGCACAGGTGAAACATATGTTGACTTGTGTGTGCGTGCGGGTTTGTGGGTGTGTATGTGTTTGTGCGTTAACGCTGATGGATTGAACCTGAACGGCGCTATTTGTCTCCATGGCAGCTAAGCTGCCTTCAGCACGGCATCATGTATTGATTCCTGGGTTCACGCCTTACCAGCATGGGAAATGAAATGGAATTTGCTCCCCGATGGCTGCGTGTGTTGTTTTTTTTGGGTTGTTTTTGTTTTTTTGCAAGTCTCTCACAGAAAGTGACTTTGGGCGTGGAAGGGTTTCAGTGAGAGTGTGTAGGTGCAGGCTGGTTCGTAGCGAGAGCAGCTGTCTTGTCAGTGTAGTATATGCAACAAATGCGTGTCCACAACTGGGGTTTTGTCAATGGAAATTTAAAAATTTGTCTTTTTCGTCAGATCAAATGCATTTGTCAATGTCTGTCTTTACAAAGGTTTTGATTGGCAATGTCGTAGAGAAAATAAAAACATGTTTCGTAAAAATTGGACTTAACAGCAGCTACAGATTTTTGGCGTGCACTTTCTGAATTTTGTTGTTCATTTCCTTAAATGAAAAGTGGTGAAGGCTCGCAAAATAAGTGAGTCATCATAACACTTTATAACCAATGAACTCAAAAATTCTACAGGGAGCCAGTGAAGGAAGGCCAGTGTTGTAGTGATGTGCACTCTCCGTTTAGGAGGTGAGAAGCAGCATTTTGGACCAACTGGAGACGCTTGGTGGAGGACTGACTGACTCTAAACTCACGTGCTTTATTATAATCCATCCAAGATGTAACGAAGGCACTTATTACTGTTACAGTCCAATTTAAAATCACCATTGTTGGCTTTAGATAAGACGTCAGGGGGCCCACGTCAAAGCATGGACGAGAGCCACTGGGACGAATCTCTCTAACTTCTTTTCGCTCAAGTTCAAGAAGTGTCGAGCCATCCATGCTTTTGATTTCCTCCAGACAGGACAAAAGTGGCCTTAAGGAGAAAGTGTCTGTTTTGCTTAGCGGGACATAGATCTGACTGACATCCGCATCGCAGTGGAAGGAAATGCTTGTTCTTAAACTTCCGAAATCTTAAGCCCGCTGCATGCGGAATGGAGAGCCAGGTACACAGCCCACCACTGCCGGCGTATGAGTAGATGAGGATATAAATAAATGACTGGAGGAGAGGGACTGGGAATAACACTAAGGGTAAAAAGTAATCTAAATTTGATGCGGGGGCGAAAAAAAAAATTCTTCTGAACACGCTCCGGCAGTTTTTGACACGGTGAACCTCCTGCTGTGTATGAGAAGACAGATTTCTTGCAGGCTTGATACCAATTCACCAACAGTTTTTGTTCCCTGCAGTCATTGCTGTACACACACACACACACACACACACACACACACACACACACACACACATCCTCAGTCTTGCATCCACAATCACACCATCAGCACCCCGAGAGAGCCTGTGAGCTGGCGAAGATGCCATCTGTCCTCCTAATAGAGCCGAAATAGAACCCTATAAGATCAGATTTACGTGTTTGTGTGCAAGAAGATATTTGATAACGGTTATCTTGTGAGATCAGGTTTGGGCTTGGCCTCATCAAGAATGCACATTTGTTTTTTTTTTTTTCCACCACACATTTGACGGCCATCATTTTGACCAAGAGGCAGAGATTCAGATACGGCACCGTTTTGTGGCATGTCAAAATGGGGAGGGGGGGGGGGGCTTCATCTATCCAAGCCATAGCCCCGTCTAATTGTATAGCAGTGCTTTGCCTTCATCTTGTGGCATCAAAAACATTTCCAGAGAGGATGTCATTGGAATGTCTATGTAAAATATAAAAAAAGAAAATAATAATAATAATAAGCAAGACACCTCCTTAACCATATTCTTTTTTTTTTTTTTTTTTTTTTTTTTTTCAGCAAGAATTTCATAATCCGTGTTTGGAGTGGAAGCTTAGTAAATGCCAGTTTGCGTCCAAATAAAACACACGTTTAAAGATAAGAGGCCGAGGTACGAGGATGTACCGCTGCGTGTTAGTGTGAGCGAGGTCAGGCAGCAATCACATGATGCATATTTCCCATCAAGCGTAAATGAAAGCCTTGCAGTCTACCAGGCGACAGGGAAGGGTTAACTTCACATTTACATGACCCCATCACTTAAGAAAGTAATTTCCTTATGTGCAAAAATCCTTCCATGTACATGGGGGAGACTGTGGGAGGTTGCATGTCATGAATAAAGTCAGGTCAAGCCACGTGACCGGTTTTGGATGAAGTTGTACAAACCATTCTGATGCCATCATTGGAAATATTTTTATTATCACTTTTGTTGTCTTTTCTGGCTCTTAAACATTCAACCAGGAAATAATAAATTGACATTTGGCTTCTGCCGGGCAGGAAAATGTCATGCTAGCTTTTTTTTTTTTTTAACACTACTCACAGCTCTTTTTTATACCCTTTGAGGGACAGCGGTTACTACAGCGGCTTATTGTGTTATCGGGTTACAGGGTGCATGGAAGAGTTACGAGCATGCATATTTATTTGTTTCCTCCAGATTATTGTGCTGTGGAACTGTGACAAGCCCCTGCCCGCCAAGCACCGCTGGCCCGCCACTTCCGTACCCGTCATCGTCATCGAAGGGGAGAACAAGGTGAGCCCTCCATTCTTTTAAACCCCACCCCCCCTTTTAAGAAATTCTCACACCGTTACGCGACTGTATCGTGCATTTTATGCAGTTGGGAGAGTTGCCTGGGAGCTAATGAATTTCCATTTGGAGAGTTTGGGACGGTTTTAATTGACGCTCTGTAATGGGTAAAATAGAATGCAGCAAAATAATATCGCAAGCATAATGTTGGGGAAAAAGTCATATATTGTTTGTGAGGAAAAAGAGTCGATATGGTGTTGCACTAATCCAATCTCATGTAAGAGGAGGTGGTTGTCACATCCACATCAGTCATCTGGCGGTTGAGCGGCTTTATGGTTCACCTCCCCACCCCACCCCCCGTGGCTCCCGAGTGGCGTCGTCCCAGTCCGTCACTCAACCTGGGAAAGTGCATGCTGCTTTTTGGCCGACATATAGCAAGTGAAGGGACAGAATTGTATACAGGGTGTGTATATAATGTGTGTTTGTGTGTGTGATGGCGACCTGTGTTTTGCTGTGGTTGCAGCTGGTTGTGTTTACTGTGCGGGTCCCAAGATGTGGCGGTTCACCACAGAGGGAGAGAGACAACATATTTCCCCTCGCGTAATCCTCGCTAAATCTTCCACTCTCTTCCCGAAACGATTTATTCCTGCTTGGATCGCTTTCGGTGGGCCAAGCGCGCTGGACTCTAATGGCTTGCATGTCTGGCCCGACAGTTCCGAGGCTTGGGGTGGGATCCAATTCTCGGCTGCATCATTTAATACGCAGAAAAAAAAATGGTGAGCCAGTGACTCTGTCATTGTTTAAGATTGCATAGGACAGTGCCAGTGGACTTTGCGGCTAGTCGCTAGCAGCTAACGGCGAGTGCCTGGTGGTCTCGCGACAGCTGTTGGACTGCTCTTTAAATCATCATAATTCATTTGTTTAAAGGCAATAGTTACAGCGGTTCCAACTGGTCCAATACCGGATGGCGATATGGCCCAACATAGTGGCCCTTGGTATGAATGAACTATTCTGTGTGTGTGTGTGTGTGTGTGTTTACATCTGAGATCAAATTTGCTATAGTGAAAACCCCCCTGTTGTGAAAAATTTCTTGCTGCAAACATGATTTTGTTCTAGAGGAGTTTCTCTGTAATGTTTTGACCAGTACTGGCTCAATTGTATTACTGCGAAAAAAAAAAAGAGGCTATTATCATCAACAAAAATTCACAAAATAAGTTAAGCGAAAAAAAAAATTGAATCTCTATTTTTGTTAATGAAATAAAAGTGAAAGTTCTTTCGGAAAAAAAAAAAGATAACTAACCGAAACGACATTTTAGATTTATAAAGTGAACAATAAGTATAGCAAAAAAAAAAAAAAAAATCACAGTTTAGTGCCACGTTTTCTCCAAATGACTGTTGGTTGCCCAGCTGTTACAAAAAGCTATCTGGCCTTTAACTTCATATTTATGTCGGAAACGATTGTTCCCCTCCCCGCGGCAACAAACCGACTTGAGCTGCGCCTCAAAAAAAAAAAATGGAGTGAAAACAAATTTGTGAGGTAATGTTTTTTTTGTGTGTGTGTGTGTGTGTGTGCGCGTTTGTTACATCAAACCAATCTGTTTCCTCTCTGCGGCCTCAAGTCCGCTTAATGGCCAGTTGCCTCGTGAGAATCCCGAGGGGCGTTTCACCCTTTCATGCACCAAGAATGATACCCTGTAACCTGCTCACATAAGCCGTCCACTGTAGTGATCGTTGTCCCCGAAAGGGGTTAATGTGGCCGACACACATCGGTGGTCCTTTTTTTCACCTTCCCCCTCCCCCTCCCCCTCCTCCTCCTCCTGCCATCCTTTGGAGAGGAGGCGAAGCGCTCGGAGGCGGATTCCTGCTGTAAGAGCTCACATTCCAGGAGAGCACCGGGAAGCCCCGGGCTAGTATGTCGCACATCTAATGTTACAAACCACCTGGGCTTTGGAAACACTCGCCTCTCATCCTCTCCCTTTTTTCCTTTGTTATCCCGCCACTCTGTCGGTCTCGCTGTCACTACACACACGCACGCGCACGCACTCCTCCTGTCCTACTCGTCCTCTCAACTTCGTCTCGAGAAGTGGCGATCTTGGAGAGAGGTGACGGCTTTGTTTTGCTTCGCTTATCGTGCCCCGCGGGCGATTGCGGGTGTAATGATGACACAAAGCGAGGGCCTCATTAGAAGCGAGTGGGAGGGAAACGCTTCTCCTGTCTCCTCTCCCACCTCGGCCGCCGTCGTCTCTTTCGCCCTCTGACAATGTGCGGGGGGGGGAAATCATCCTGATTATTTTGGTGGACATTGAAATTATAATCACTAAAATGATTATTCCCTGCTTGGATGTCCTTTTCTTTTTTTTGCGAACAAACGCATGGCATCGTAGTTTGTCTCCGACGAATAAAAGTAACAAAGCAAAGTGCGCAATCCCTGCTCTTTTTCTTCATGCGCTTTAACGCTCTCTCATGGGCCAATAAACGAAGCCCTGTAGAGAGCAAGGTCGCCTCTTCCAAGCGCGACGGGCCATTTCTCGCCGCCAGGTGTTTTAAAAAGAAATAAGGTCAACCCACATTGAACTGCGAGTGTTTTTCAGAGCAGAAGGTGGTTAAGAAGACGCACGGTGTGTCATCACAATGCTCCTCAGGTTGTTAGCTTGAAATTATGTTGAAGTGTGTGCGTGCGTGCGTGCGTGTGTGCGTGCGCCCATCACAGCTCCGCATGTCTGAGCTGTCTCTTGTTTGCGTGGGAGGTTGACCACACACACGCACCCTCACACACACACACACACACACACACACACACACACACACACACTGCTGCTCTCCCATCTGGGTGCTTTTCACCATAGCAAATCTAAACCACCTACGAGCCTCCATCACTGACAATCGACAGTTCTCTCTCTCTCTCTCTCTCTCTCTCTCTCTCTCTCTCTCTCTCTCTCTCTCTCTCTCTCTCCCTCGCTCTTGCTCTTGCTCTCGAGATAGATAAATAAAAAATATATATTTAACAATAAGAATATCTGGCTGTATTATAAGGAAGCCGTATATCTTATTTGTTACATTATATTGGATGTCAATGTAGTGTGTAGGTGTAGCTAATAATTTGGCTGAAGAAAATATGTTGTTTCCAACAGTGGCGGGCGGGGTAAAATCAGCTTGCTCCAAAACGTTGGCGCACGTGACTCAAGTCGCGTATAGGGTTGCGTCACTTCAATGCGATGATCGATCCTGAACAGAAAAATGAGCCTGAACCGATAATAGGAGCCGGTATCTGTTCTCCATCATCAGTGTTCACAGCAAGCAGCTTGCAAGACAGCCGAAAAATCCGGTTCGTGATGTCACGGCTTGTGTCCGCTCGATTCGATTTACTTGAGGATGAGATGTATAGGGGGAAGTGGTGAAGGTGAAGGTGGCATGCGCAAATGTGGTTGACCTTTTCCTCAATCGCTGCTTGGATCGTGTGATAAATTCAGTCATCCTGGGGGATGTTCCCGACGGGCTTTAATGGGTTCATCTGCAGCAACGTGGTTTGACTGCGCTTTGCTCCATGTCTCGCCCCGCAGGTGATGAGCAGCCGCTTCCTCCCGTACGAGGCCATCGTGACCGACGCCGTCCTCAGCTTGGATGAAGACACGGTGTTGTCCACCACAGAGGTGCGTTGAACTATTTCGAAATGATTTGCCCGCAGGCAAAAATCTGTTGTGTGTGTCTGATTTTAATTCTGCGCAGTCTCAAATTTAGTTGGGTCATTCCGCGTGGTGCCTGTTTTTCGAATGACTCTGTCTCCATCCTTAGTTTTTCCCCTTTCGTGACAGCCTCATACCTAATATTTTAGGTCACAATGCCGCAGTAAACCTACAAATACAAAAAAAAAGCTTTCTTCGTGTTTTCCAAGCTCCACTTATGGGGGGAATTTGGCGTGAGAAAAAAACAAATAAACAAAAAAAAACACGTCAAGTAAGATTTTATGTACATTTTTTCAAATGCCCATGTACGTTTTAGCCGAAAAAAACGACCATGTATAGTAA